AGGCTAGTTTTGTCTTACATAGCTACTCTTCTAACCTAAGATATAATCTTAACTGTGTGCAACCGACCGGCTTCACAGTAAGTATCTACATAGGTTCTCTTTCACAGCGCAGTCCTTAGGACATTCAATGACCGGACTTTCTCTCATATTCTGAAGCACACAGTCAATACATGGACAAGGATGTGGTATTACATTGCCAAGTAGAGAGTCATCTTGAAAACAGAGATAACAAGTCTTATTTTATTTTGTTTTTTTTCAAGACAGTGTTTCTCTTTTGGAACTCACTCTGTAGATCAGGCTGACCTTGAACTCTCAGAGATCCACCTGTCTCTGGCTCCCGAGTGCTGTGGTTTTCTTGCAGAGGGCTGGGGTTCAGTATCTAACACCAAGGCAGCTCACAAAACCCTGTAACTACATCTCCAGGGTATCTTATGCTCTCTTCGAGACTCACGAGGCATCAATACACATGTATTTATGTATGTACATATATAGACACACATACGTGTAAATAAATCTTTTAAAAGATTTATTAAGTTGTGTGTGTGTGTGTGTGTGTGTGTGTGTGTGAGAGAGAGAGAGAGAGAGAGAGAGAGAGAGAGAGAGAGAGAGAGAGAGAGACCCACTTTTTTGTGGCTTTCATTTCACATGCCATTAGGCCATTAGGCAATGCTATAGAAGCGACTCAAGACAGTCTGTGACTGTTCCGAGACAGCTGAGTAACAGCCCGAATACTAACATCTGTGAATGAATCTTCATCCTCTTACCCCAGATTAGTCTTTGAAGGATCCAATCAGGGTAAAGCTAGAATGTTAAAAAAAAAAAAAAGCTGGCAGGTAATATGACAAACCAATGTTGGTCTTAGTAAGCTGACTCGTTTTTAATTCACAAACCAGTCTGAAAAGATTTGTGATGAAGCTGACTCCTGTCTAGACAGAGAAGGGAGTGCAAAACACATTAGACAGACACAGCACAGTAGTGACAAGAAAAACCTGTTCTAGTTGCACCAATGCACGGGGGAAGGAATCAGCTAGTTCCTCCTTTAGCTAAATGTATAATCCTAATGGACCCATATCTAGATCCTAGGGAATTTCTGCTTTGTTTTTAGAGCCTTAAAGTGTCTTATCCATGAATAATAGAGGCAGCAAAAAGGAAAACTGGGTAAGAAGAATGAGGGAGTTGATAGAGAAAGGGAGGGAGGGAAGGGTGTTGGACGGAGAGAGACAGAGATGAGAGACCAGGAAAGAACAACCGTATCAGAGGATGGGAAGGGAGAGCAATAAAATCTGTTTAAATATTGTCCTGGATTTCAAAGGCTATTTGTGTTTTAGCATTTGGAAAACATCACAGACTGAGGCCTATAAAATTTATCTCTTGTCTCAGATGTTCCGTAGCCATGTGTGTGTTTCTCTTTCTACTTCAGTGATAAAGATACAGATATCAGAGAAGACAGCTCCTACATCATTCTCTGAAGATGAGTATACCAGTGGCTGGTTAGATATAGTAATCAGTCAAGCTATTTAAGAAGAGCAAGTCACTTGAACGTGAGTGTGAATGCACACACACACACACACACACACTCCCTTGATATGCATCTTAAAGATGCATCTCTGTGTTTGTTAGTATAGGCATGTGTACATGTGTACATGTCTGTAGAAAATAGAGGTTGGCATTAGGTGTCTTTCCTTGATTTCTCTTCATATTATTTGTCTGCCTGCCCATGTATGTATGTACGTATGTATGTATGTATGTATGTATGTATCATCTATCTATGTATCTATTTATTTACATTTTTAAAGATATATTTATATAATATTTATATTTATAATGAAGGTAAATAAATCTTTAAAAATGTAAGTGCACTATGTGTGTGCACTTACACTTTAACATGTAAGTGTGCCACGAGTGTGGAATGCTGGTGGAGGCCAGAAGAGGGCGCTGTAACTACTGGACCAGAAGTTACAAATGGTTATGAGCCACTGTGTGACTGGTAGGAGCCAAACCAGGGTCTTCTGCAAAAACAGCAAGTGCTCTTAACCTTCGTTTAAATACAAATATGTTTTAAAATAGACTTCTTTGTTTTGATTTTTTTTTTAGTTTATATTCTGTCCAACTCACATAAGCAGTTATGTGCCTAGTCACACTTGTGTTATTTGTTGTTGTTTAAAAAGCTATGATCATGGGTTTTATTTAATATTTCATAACAAGGGTAGAGTTCCCCAAGCAGAATGTATTAGAGCTCTCTTGGGAAAATGAAAGGAATGTCTCCAGTTGTTGTGGTAAATATGATGGTGGCGAAAGTACCAGAGGTCAGGAGAAGTTTGTCTTCTCTTTAATAGTTCCCAGCTTCATCTTTTTCTTACATTGACAGATTTTCTCAAAATATTTCTCTGCCAAGGTACACTTGCTTTTAGCAGATGCTGTTATTATGGTTGCGATGGGGGATTCTGTTGTCTTAAAATACTTTCAGATATAATTAAAGGGACGAGAAAAATGAGAAATTCAGCAAATTCATGGTAAGGAAAATCTTGCATGCACTACCAGAGTGTGGAAGATGAGTGCCTTCTATGTCCTCAGCCTTCAGCGACGACATCACCACCATGCTCACCCAAGAGGCATTTAAGCAAGTTCTACAGGACTGGAGCGTTCAGAACAAATTTTATTAAGTAACTCACGATCAAACTTTTTTTTTTTTTTTTTTTTTTTTTTTGTTTTTTGAGAAAGGGTT